TGTGGCCAAAGATGGCCGCCCCCATGTGGTCACAAGATGGCTGGCAGGGGAGGGCAGTTAGGGGTGACCAGGCTGGCAGGGGAGGGCAGTTGGGGGCGACCAGGCTGGCAGGGGAGGGCAGTTGGGGGCGACCAGGCTGGCAGGGGGGGGCAGTTGGGGACAGTCGGCCTGACAGGGGAGAGCAGTTAGGTGTTGATCAGGCTGGCAGGGTCAGTGGTTAGGGGGTGATCAGGCTAGCAGGCAGAAGCGGTTAGGGGCAATCAGGCAGGCAGGCAGGCGAGTGGTTGGGAGCCAGCAGTCCTGGATTATGAGAGGGATGTCCCACAGGGATCAGGCTAAACTGGCAGTCGGACATCCCCTGAGGGGTCCCAGATTGGAGAAGGTGCAGGCTGGGCTGAGGGACAACTGCCCCCCACCCCCACCCCATGCACAAATTTCATGCACCGGGCCTCTAGTCATTTATAAAGGCCTTAACACTTTATAAAAAGTTCTTAAATTTATTCATTAAAAAATTATTACTGAGTAGCTATTCTATACCATCCACTGTTGTAGACAGAGTACAGCACACAAGAAAACAGAGAGAAATATGTGTTCATGGATCTTACATTCTGGTCAGGGGAGACAGACAGTAAGACACTAAAAGGGAAAAATGTGATATGGAAGGATATGATCAATTATATAGGGACGTTTACAGCAGGGAATGAGTATGTGGAGAATGGGGTGATTGTTGAAATTTAAAATACTAGTAAGGTGGTTTGAAAAGCCTCATTGCAAGGTGACACTTTCAGTAAAGAAGGAAAGAGCCCTGACCAGGTAGCTCAGTTGGTTAGAGCATCACCCTGATATGCCAAGGTTGTGGGTTTGAACCCAGTCAGGGCACATATAAGAATCAACCAATTAATGCATATGTAAGTGAAAAAACAAATAAATGTTTCTCTCTCTTTCATTTACTGTGTCTCTCCCTTTCTCTTTCTAACATCAATAATTTTTTTTTTAAAAAAAGGAGGAAAGAAAGTGAGCAATACAGTAATCTATTGTTGAATGACCATATTCTCAGCAAGTATTAAGATTTGTGTCCCCCCCCTCCATGAATAGGACAGTATCAGACCCACAGAAACATTTGCTTAATAACGTGAAAAACGTATTTATGATTTCCTGATCTAAACTGAATTACATCTTTCATGTGAACACACGTTAGTTTACCCGATTTTCCAGGACAACACAAACCATGAGATGGAAGGCTGTACTATATGTTTTATATTACTGGAGTTAATCACTATTGTAGACCTCTGGGATCGGAAAACCAAGATGGCGGCATAGGTTAACGCTGGAGTTTGCTGCCTCGAACAACCACCTCAAAAATACAACTAAAAGACGGAACGGACATCATCCAGAACCACAGGAAGGCTGGCTGAGTGGAAGTTCTACAACTAGGAGGAACCGAGAATCAGAGGAGGCGCAGTGCTGAAGTAAAATACTAAGGTGCGGAGTGCGCGCAGCGCGGGCTGGTGGCTGAGGGCACGGTTGTCTGTTTCAATCCGGAGGGAGCCTCAGACTCTGAGCTCCAGATCCGGGCGAGTCACTAGGGACCCAGACTCAAACAGGAGAAGCGGGACTGTCTGGCTTCGGTCCCTCCGAGGTTTGCAGTAGTTGCTGGGACAGAGAGGCAGAGCCCCTGGGGACGGACTGAGAGCAGCCATAACTGCTCCCTCCTCCGCCCTGTTGATCCCGTGGGACCCGCCCCGCCCAAGCCCTGCACAGAGCCATTTGCCGGATAGCCTCAGGCAAAGGCTAGATTAGCACCTCCCTAGAGGACAGAAGTTCTCCCACTGCAAACACAGCTGATTCTCACAGCCAGTTGGCCTGGAGGTCAAGTAGTAATTACCTACAACAATCAAGGCTTGACTACAACAAGACTGCTCACAGAGACCACAAGGGGGTGCACCAAGAGTGTCTACCTCAGGTAATTGGGACACTTAACACAGAAAGCCACTCTATCGACACAGCGAAGCACACAAAAATGCCAAGACAAAGAAACAGGCCACAAAGGACAGAACCGGAGGAAAGCAGGCTACTGGATATAGAATTCAAAACCACACTTTTGAGGTCTCTCAAGAGGCTTCTAGAGTCTGTCGATAAACTTGATGAGATGTACAGGAAATCTAATGAGACCCTTGATGGTGTGATAAAGGACCAACTAGAAAGTAAGC